TGTACAGGTTAAGTTCAGGGTGGTTTTTTTGGGGGGCTGGTGCCTTGTTCAGGGACCCCAAATAATGGTACCCCTAATTTGGGGAAACCCTTTAATTGTAGTTCCTTGTCAACTGTTTTGCCAGACAGCACACTTGGAGGTCAGGGGGGCTTAGTAAGTAGCTTCAGAAGGGAGATACCTAGGGTTATTCTATGGGTTATAGGTGTTATTAACCTAGTTGTACTTACTAAGTCCCCTTGACCCTAAACCCCATACACTAAACCCTAAATAACAAGGTAGTCTCCATTTTCTTTTACAAGGTAGTCTCCATTTTCTTTTCCATTGTTGCTATATTAACCTACGTCCCCCTGACCCTCCAAGCAGAGCATCCTTTAGTTTGATGGAATGTAGGACTGGGCCTGTCAACGGCTTTGCGGCCACTGCCTTGGCGAACCCAGGGTGAAGGACAGTAGCAATATGATAGAAATAGCAAAATCTATAGGGTTAATGGGAAATACAACGGAAACTGCTATTATATAAGGTATATGATACATATGTACAGATATGTGTATATATATATATACAGAGAGAGGGGCTATATTGGGATAATCAATGGAAAATAAAGGCGAAATTACTAAAAGTAAGAATAGGAGCAAGGGAACAATAAGTGCCTGTAATGGTAAGACTAAGAGAATCACAGGAATGGGAAAGTTGGGTCCACATTGTCTTGCTACTGGAGGTGATTGGGCACAGCGATGATACCGATGACGAGACCAGTGATGGCGAGACTGGAGCCCAGCCAGACATGGTGAGGTCTATGTAACCCCTATATACCCCCATGTCTCCCCGAAAAAAAAGCATGTATATACCACCCGTACAACACCTCATATCTCATCTGTAGAACACCCACATAAGCTCTGCATATCGTCTGCTCGGGATGCAGAAAGGTCATCCCATGGCTTCCAGCATGCATCGTCGACAGTGCGAGCCCTTGTCAACACCTCCATGGTTCCTACTTGGGCCAAGGGGCCAGGGGATTTAGTAAGTAGGTTAAGAAGGGGGATAGCTGGGGTTACTACATGAGTTCCAGGGGGAATTGACCTACTTACTAAGTCCGCCTGACCCTCCAAGTACAGTTTCCCTGCACTCTCAAGCTGGCATGCAAGACTGGAAACTCCTGGCGTCAGGTTTCCACAGAGTCCTGCGGGGATCTGCTGGTGCTTGAAGGCGTGTACAACACTTGCCACCAACTTCCACAATACATCACAACACAATAATACCGTAAGATACCACAACATACCATAATCCACCATAATCTACCATAACATACCATAATATGCCATAATATACTTATAATATGCCATAAATATGCCACCTGCACTATGCATCCTGTCACGCTGTGCAGGCGGTGCAGCAGACTTGGCCTCAGCTGCTTCCCATATGGGGGGAGTTCTTCAAACGAGGTGAGCGCAATATAGACCCTGAAATTTCTACAATCCTTATCAGAGAGACCTTGCAGATAGGGGTCCCCTATAGCTTCCATTTTCTTTTCCATTCTCCCTATAAAACCCCAATATAAGCCCCATCTATCCTAATTTTGGGAAACCCCGATATTGTATACCCCTAAACCTTAAACCCTCAATAGTAGTTTCCATGTTCTTTTCCATTATCCCTATATAATCCCCATATTCCCCCCATGGTACTATATTAGCCCTAACAACTGGTGAAGCAGGAGGCTGGAAGGAAGCCCAAAGAGCCGCCACTGAGGCCACCAAAGCGAGTCCAGAGAGTGTCGCAGCCAATGCGGACCTGCTAGACCTTCTGTGAACCCATGTCTACAAGGTTCCTGAAAATATTTTTTAACTTCTGTTACCTAGAATCTTAATATTTAGCTGAAATTATGATTTCTACTNNGGGTTCCAAATCCCTTAGAGATATGGGCAGGTGGTCACAGGCACATCTTGCCAAGGTGGCAAGAACAATAATAACACTATTACTGCTAAGAAGATTGTTGGTAGTACTAATCTTACTAGTAATACTAGTAATAATCTAAGAGCTCCCACCAGTGGAAGGTCTGGGACAACAGTAAGCCGAAGACACAAGTCTTCTTACTTCTGCCCGTCCCTGCTCACTGTACAGCAGAGCCTCAAGGGACCGAGAAAGGCGCTGGGCCTGCAAGGCGCTATATAGGGTTTAGGGCTTAGGGATGAATAGTGGTTTATAAGGGTTTTAGGGTTTAGGGTTTTAGGATTTAGGGAGGAATAGTGGTTTATAAGGGTTTAGGGTTTTAGGGTTTCGGGTTGTAGGGTTTAGGGAGGAATAGTGCTAGCAGTGGCAGTATACAGTCGTGGTAATGGTGTTATTTGTGATAATAGTAATGGTAAACGTTCTAGCAATAGGTGCAGAGATGCGTAGACGAGTTGCAACGCGGAGGGCTGCAACTCGCAATTAGTTCGACAACGCTTCTTGGGCGAATGTCATCAAAGACCACCTGAGCTATAGTCTAAACTCCTAGTATCCCCCTTCATCGCGGTCCCTATAATACTCCCCATACATATATACATATATATATGGGGAGTATTCTAGGGGCTAGTATGGGGAATACTAGGAGTTTAGACTATCGCTCACCTGTCTGCGGGCATGTCCTGCGAGAGAGTCTGATCCACTGGTGTTCATCTACGGGACAGCCAGCACTCAGCTCCTTCAAATTTGCCTTTTGTGCTCAAGGATCTTATCACCTTTGAGGCCAAGCCAAGTTAAGTTCGCACAGCAATCGTCCCAAGGTGGTGGGGCAGTACGCAAACCCAGGCCCCATTTCCTTAGTAAAGCATGCAGCTGAGAAAAAGCCGACGCAAGCCGATCAACCGGAGACACGAGCTTGCCAGCATTGACTTCCGAGCAAGTGTCTTTTCCATTGATGGACCGCCACGAGTATGAAGAGGCCAATATCCCAAGTTTGCTGATTTGGCAGCCATGCCGGCCTAAAGATTATTTTTTCTATCCACCCTAATCTGGAGGCTTCTCTACTTGTGGTCTCGTTTTGGTTCCCCGTGTAGTCAATTCGAAACAACCCCATCTATGCCTTTGCATGCACTTAACTGCGCTCTGCGAAGGTGATCGCCAACCAGCCGGTTGTTATCGAACCCCTGACCTGTTTTTGCTGTCGTGGCACTTTCTGGAACAAGGCATCCTTTTGTTTGGGGTTCCTATAGTCATGCCCATAGTATATCAGGACCCCCTGTTTGTGGAAAATCGTTTCTGCCTCTTTGCAGCTGTTGTCCATGTGAACTTGCCAGGACAATGGCTCCGGGGTGATCAAGGTGCTACAACTGTTTTGCAACAGACCTCATGAAGGGTTTCATAGGGTTTATGGGGCTTATAGGGTTTATAGGGTTTTATGGGGCTTATAGGGTTTTACCCTCTCCCAAACTAACATGGGACCCTACATAGCCCCCCTTGCAAAGGCAAGCGGTCTACAAGGGACCCGTGTCAGGTTCCATGTTAGTTTGGGAGAGTGTACATGCTAAACCCAATACATCCCTAGACATGATCCCTACATACTTCCTTGAGCCCTGAACCTCATGTACGTATACATATATACATATGAACCATATTCTAACCTCCTAGGATCACCCTTAATAACCCTTATAGTAGTCTCCTTTATAATCCCCTATATAGCCCCCCTGTAAGGAGTTTAGATTACCGCTCGTGTGCGTGTATATATATATATACATAACCCTAAACCCTAAATCCTAAACCCTACACCCTAAATCCTAAACCCTAAACCCATATATATATATATGCATGTGGGAGAGTGTAGCAGCCTGATGGAGTTGCTGTGCCTCAAGCAAGGCGGGGTTCGCTGGCGATGACTCCGTAGCTCGGCAGCACTTCCTGGGTTGCTGTTAAGGAACTTAGTTTAAGATTAGTTTAGTAAGGGTATATAGGGGTAAGCATGTAAGGGTACATAGGGACACATAGGGTTGAGGGTTTAGGGTTAAAGGGACTTAATTTAAGTTACTACTGTATATTATCTCTCTGTAATGGCGAATCAAATGGAGAAGAACACTGAAAACTAAATGGAAACTGGGGGAATGTGGAAATTTCAGGAATTTAGATACTAGTCACTATATATACCCATTATGGTAGCTTCATTTAAGTTCGCTAACAGCAAGCCAGCTTCTGGTGAGTCTGCATAGCTGCGAACCCTGAAAGACTTAATAGCAGGGCTTTGCAGCGGTTATATGGGTACCATATAGGGGTGATGTAGGGTTACCCCCTAATGAAGGCATACAGCCTCATTGTCAGAGGGATCCCTAATATGTTTTAAGAGATATATTCCTTAATCACCGACTATTGCGCTCCTGGCTAGTGATGAATAATAAGCCCTAAACCCTGAGCCTTAACAAAAAAAGCTACACCCTGAATCGTGTTCTTGGGGGAAGAGTTGAACTGATGTCCAAATCAGGTCAAGCTGCTCCACCCATCCTTCGTTGGCAGGCAGTATGCACTTGCAGCAAGCTAGCGTTTCACTTACTTGTCCGTATAGTAGTCCCAAGAGTATACCAACAACCCTAAACCCCAAACCATAAACCCTAAAACCCTTTTTTTAAAAGCCTTAAGGCCCCAAACCCTAACATTTCCCTCACCCCCGCCTATTTGCCCACACCCTATTCCCGTTACGTGACATGCGCATCCGAGGTGTTACGTGCGCATCCAAGGTCACTGCATCCGTATAGATGCCTCCACAACTGCAAGAGTATTGTTATTTACAGCGAAACAAGATAGTAGCAAATGCCTGCCGGCACCCATATTAACGTTCACTTCGACCACATCCACAACCACCAAAACACTGCTATACGCAGCACATGCTGATGAGCAGGCATTTGGCGCGGGCAAATTGGGGGGGCGGGCGTAACACTTACTAGCTGCCTTCGCCAGGCCGAAGCATCAGCGAGTGATGGCTGGTGCTGCAGAAGGAGACAATGGAGACATATTTGTGGGCTGGGACCTCAGGTGTAGAGTTCAGGGTCTGGGGTCTATGGTTGTGGGGACCACTCGCAGACTGAGGGTACTTGTACCCCAAATATAAGTGGTAGTCATAACCACTTACAACCCTATTCTGGGACCAGGGGAGCTTAGTATTGGGTTAGAGGTACAGTTGTAATTGGATTCTATCTGCCCTAAATCTCCAAGTATAGGATGTTTCGAGTTGCTCTGAGTGTCATATGAGCCATAATCATACTCTAAACTCCCTAAAGGGGTTATATAAGGGATTATGTAGGGGACTACTATGGGGGTTGTTAAGGGGGATACTAGGAGTTTAGACTAGAACCCCCATAATCTCCTATATAATCCCAAACCCTGTACCCTATACTAAGGCTAATTAAAGGGAATGCTAGGAGTTTGGACTACTTATGGCTCATATACTCGCGTTCCCCTGCTGTTGGCACTGCAGGTGAGCGCGCCGAGAAATTTCGCGGCATTCTATCCCTCAAATATCCCATGGAGCATGGCATCGTGCAGATCCCAGAACTGTCCTGACGCATAGAATGAATCAGTGTTTACAAAGCACGAGCAAGAACAGGTGTAATCTTTGACAAACCATACATTGCGTAGCTTGCAGTTCATGATTACTGGCTGCAGCAGTCAGATGTGAGTTGTCCTCTTGCACCAATGTCAGTGCTTCATTGAATTAAGGTGCAACATTGGGACGACATGGAGCTGATATGGCGGCATGTCTACTCTGAGATGAAAGCCTGATGCTGAAGGGCTAGCGGCTAGCAAGGGATCAGATTATCCAGCACGTTGCATGCCGGTCTCAGTAGCTCTGTTTTGCAGCGTATGTTTCATGCTTCTTTCTTGCTTGGCGAAGTTGACTTGAAGCTGATAAGCCAATTAGAGTACAAGGAGTGCTACCACGATATTCCTCGACTTTGCAAACATGCTTTGAGGTCAACGCAGAGGAGCACCCCGTTCTCCTGACAGAGGCCAACCTTGAGGTAGTGAAGACTTCCACATGCTAGCAGCCTATTGCAGGCTCCGCTCAATCCGCGGAAGAACCGTGAGAAAGCCGGCCCCCCGTAAATGAGAAGACATGTACGAGGCATTCTGGAATGGCTCTGAGGCAGCAGAGATCTTTTTCGAGACATTCGGTTGTCCGGCGCTCTTCGTTTCGGCGCAGGCACAGTGCTTCGCAACATAAGCAAAGCGTCTCCTAAATGCCTAAATGTGAGGCAGTCATGCCCCGTGCCACAGTCCACCGTAGACCGGGTGTCCAAGCATAGGAGCTGTTGCTGTGAAATGAACAAGACACGTGCTTGGTTCACATGTGATCACGTGGTGCATTTGCGCTCCGTCGATCTCCTTCGTACATTTTCACAGCTTGGACAGAGTATCAGGCCATCCTCTCGCTGTATGCAAGTGGGAGAACGACGGGTGTCGACACCTCAGCAGCAACCCGTTGACTGAAAAAATGGGTGGCATTGCAGCATTCTGTGAAAAGGTGGTCCTGGACTCGGGAGACGGCGTCACTCACGCCGTCCCAGTTTATGAGGGTTTTGCCCTCCCACACGCAGCCCGAACCTCAAGGATGACATGCTGTGTCCGTGCTGGCTGCAGGCGGTGCCTCCTGCTACTGCTACTGCTACCAGTGCTGCTACCAGTGCTACTATTACCACCGCAGCCGCTGCTTCTTCTTCCAGACGCGATGTCAATGCAATCTCGCGCCCAGCTATGCGTCTCCGCCAAGTACCATCCCAGTTTGCCGCTAGCTCCTCCATAGTGCCAGGTTGCTGCAGGAGAGCAATCATTCCAGAAAGCACCTCTTGAAAAACACAAGTCAGGAGCGTCGTGCGCATGGGCCAATGTGGGCCTCTGCCAAGTTCGGCCAATGCTCGCCGAGATGCCCACCTTCAAGAAAAGGATGAAGGAAAGATCTCGACGCATGGAATAAATGGACTCCTCATGTCGCACCACCAAGCGCTGTACTGCTGTCATCAGACGCTTCAGGGCTGCCACATGATTATCCGACAGCTAGGATCTGTTGGACCATCCCTCGTCTTTGTCTTTCTGCCCATGTCTCGACGGGATTGTCCATGCAGCTCTCGTCACGCCATGCCTGCTGGGATGCTTGGCTTCTCCCTTTGCCCTTCCTGGTGGCTTGCTGGGTTGCTGTTAAGGAACTTAATTTAAGTTACTGTATTGGGGAAACCCTATTATTTACTATATATATATAAATATACCCATTATGGTAAGTTAATTTAAGTTCCTTAACAGCAACCAAGTTTGATCCTTGTCAAGTCTGGTCCACTTGCTTCCTCTGTCATCTTCTGTGTGCTGGCTGCCTGGTGCGTCGTCTTTGTCTTCAGAGTCTGCCGAAGCAACATGCTGGTGATGCTGATGCTGCCGCTCGTACTGCTAGTACAACTTCTAGTCGTACGATTATGTTACCACTCTTGCTGCTGCTTCTACTACTGCTGCTGTCATTACTATGACGGCTATTACTGCTACTGCTGCTCCTAGTTCTCCTACTGCTACCGCTACCGGCATTGCCATACATGTACTACTGCTGTTATTATTGTCATTCTTATCCTCAAGATTAGTATTCTTGGTATGACCTGTTTCAGTAGGTGATGAGATCGGACGTTGCCGGGCGCGACGTCGGAAGCCGAGCCGGCAATTGATGGGTGCCATTATGGGGGATTGCATGAAGATTACGGATTATGAGGGATTCTGTAGGAATAACTCTAGGGATTTTGCTGACCCCTAGGGCCCCAAAAGCGGACACTGTTGCAGCCCCATGCTGGTGACAAAGTCTTTATTTGGAGCGGTGGAGTTGCCAAAACGGCAGTTTCCCAAAATAAGGAGATCCCAATACAAACCCCAAAATCCCCAAGTGGTGCCCCTAATTTTTGGAAACGCCCAAACCGTGCTTCTACTGAGCGAACCTTTGCCTCCCTTCCAAGGTCACCGACCACTTGCTCCTCCAGCTCCGGCGCACTGGCCATGTGCGGTCCCGAATTGGGGGTTCTAAGCTAGGGGACTAGGGGATTCTATAGGGTTTCGGGTCAACTCCTCAATGGAGGGTTATATGAGTGATTTTGTTGGGGGGTGGGTGGTATTACTAGGGGTTATGAAGGGGGATACCAGGAGCTTAGACTCGGGCTGCATGTGGCTCGCAGAATAAGGTTTGTAGCTCGTGGATGATTTTTTTTGGGGTGAAATATCCAAGAGTGTGAGTTTCACTGAGTTGCTAATTTTTTGATCAGCTACCACCTAAGCCTTACATAAATCCTATAGAACCCCATACGCACTTCATAGCACTGGTAATTTATAATCCTATCCTTGCCTCTCTAGCTGCGACATGTATAGAGCCCGATACAAACTACGTAATACTGACAACTTATGTCATGTATAGTCTTATCCAACCCCCAGCTAATAGGGGGGATAACTAGGACTACTATGCGGGTTGTTAACCTACTTGCTAAGTCCCCCATGAGACCCTCCAAATGTCTAATCTGCGGGGTCAAGACAGTTTTCTTACTATATGGGTTTTAGGGGTTATTAGCATGTATTTAATGTATGAAGTTTATAGTCCTGAACAAACATACATATATCCAAAGTGAAGACCTTTCCCAGGTTTTTCACACCTCGGCAGAGAGGGAAGTTGTCCGTCAGATCAAGGAGAAGGCTCCTCGTTAGGATTTAGGGGTCTATGGCTTGGGGATAAGTTTGTAGTTGATCAAAATTGGCGATATATGGCTATGTATGAGTTCTATTGGGTTTATATGGAATCATATAGAGATATTATAGGGGGATATAGGAACATGGAACAGAAAATGGAAGACACATCATTTAGGGTTTAGGATGGAACCCCTACGATGGAGCATTGAATGGAAAGAAAACTGAAAAATGAAATGTAGGCTGAGGTTATATAGGGGCTTTAACGGGATGTTGATCAAACAAATCCAAAAAAAGTTTATAGGCGGGAAGCTGGGGTGATTTAGTATTTATGGGAGAGGGGGTTCGCATTACATAGGAGTTATATATGGTAGTTAAACAAATTCTCGTTCCCAAAGTGGCCATTATGGCAAATACGGTACTGTACCGGCATATTTTCTTTTAGCAAACTTATCTGTACAGGTTCCTCAATTAAATTCCCCAAGGGACCTTGAGATCAACAACCCCCAGTTGCTTTGGGAGCCGGAGGTTTAGAATTTAGGCAATTACCCCATGCATTGCATTTGGATCAACATCCCTATAAATTACTACATCACCTCAGTTCCCACTGAATTTCCATTGTCTTTTCCATTTGAAATGGGGGTAGTACTATCCCTGTATCCCTTGAAGGGTACCTAATCCTTATAGGATCCCTATATCGCAGGGGCAGCTTCCATTATAGATCACTACAGAACCTCAGTTTCCATGTAACTTTCCATGTTCTATTCCATTGATTCTCCATCATTGGGGTAATATCCCAATACATCTAAGCCCTTGATAATGTAGTCGTTTCTAGTTTCTTTTCCGTACTCCATATACCCCTTTATATCCCTATATAGTTCCCAGATACTCCATCGCAAGCGGAAGGAGTGTTACGTGGCGCTGAACCCGCAGAAGGAGGAGCAAGCCGCCCTCTTAGCCCTTACTTGGAGGGTCAGGGGGATTTAGTAAGTGGTTAATAAGGGGGATAACTTGTGTCATTATATGGGTGGTATTAATCTACTTACCAAGTTCCCCTAACCCTCCAAGTAGGTGTCTGCAAGAAAGAGTTTCTCTATCCTAGGGGTTGTATAGGGATTATATGGGGGTCACATTAATATGGCAGAACAGGGGGGTTTATATAGGATTCAGTGTTTTCCAAACTTAGCGCTACTTTTTTGGGGCGTCCCTAGAATAAGGATTGCTCCTGAGGATAAGACATCATCAAAACGAATTTGGGAAAAACAAGGGGCGCATTTTTTAGAAGCCCAAACTGGTGCCACGCCTGCTCAAAATGACTGAGGGAGAACACGACAAGGCCTCCATGCAGCACCAATACAAGCTGCAGGATCCTCAGACTCTTCAGATAAACTTAATGGTGCTTAAGGGAGAATGGGGGAGTGGATATAGGGATTATTGGCTATTATGGGAGGTGTATATATAAGGGGATTATTATAGGGGTATGTATGGGGGTTATATGGGGATTACTTTAAGGACCCACTCCCCAAGTCTCCATCAAGCAGCAGTAAGTAAACCTATGGCCCGGTCCGGTCCGGGAGTTGTCATAAATAGGGGGATCCCATATAGACCCCCAAACACTGTAATCCTTTCATAAACCCTATATAAGAGCTATAGAACCCTTTTAAAAAGGGACCCCTATTATATTCTAGTCCTTATTATGGAGACCGGGAAACTCCCATATTTTCCACTTTTCAAAGCCAAGGCCTGATGGCTCCGTGATCAACCTCGGTGCAGAAAGGCTTACTGGTGGTTAGTATTTGGCGAGTAGTATCCGGGTTGTATCGGTTTAATGGAAAAGAAATGGAAACTACTATATCGTATTTAGGGTTTAGGGTTTAGGGTCATCTGCACTCAGTAAGAAGTTAAATGAGAGAAAAAGCTTGGGTTGCTACATGGGTTATAGGGGTTCTTAACCTACTCCCTGAATCCCCTGACCCTCCAAGCAGGAAGTGAGATAATTTTTCATTCCCTACTAATCGCCGGAATGCTCGACTGGAGTCTGCATTAGGCCCCCAAGTTATGGAAACTCTATATATCCTTATATACCCCTATATACACCCTATATAAACCTTATATATCCCTGTATAACCCTATATACTCCTAATTTTGGGAACTACTGTTCTACCTTCTGCTGGACTTTGAGTCTGACAGGTTTCGAGCGCCCGAGATACTGTTTCATCCTGACCTGATTGGCCTGGAATACCCAGGCTTGCGTCATGAGACTCTCCTTCTTGGAGGGTCTGGGGGATAACTTGGGTTACTATATGGGTTATAGGGGTTCTTAACCTGCTTACTAAGACCCCCTGACGCTCCAAGTTGGGGCTTAGGGTTATGACACATACTTCGGGTTCACAAAGAATGAAGGCATGGAAAAGAAAATTGAAAGTATTTTGTTACTGGGGATCATATTCCATCCTTGCAAACTACTCTATTATTGCGGGTTATATAGGAACTACCATAATGATCCACTCACTCGTTCCTTGCCAACCAGCGCTACTGGCTGTGGCTGCTCTGCTGCTATTTGGGCAACTCCACTCTTTAGGTTATAGCCCATATTCCCCTATACTATTTTTTTACAAAGAGATAGCGCGGGCGTTCCGAAACATGCCTACCTAGTGCAAACCTGCTGAAGGCATCCATGAATTGCTCGCTACGTCCATCAATCGGGCTGACCTCGACTTGCGAATGACTCTGTTCTCACAGGCTGGCGTTAGTCCCATATGATAGGGTTCCTTTCACAGGCTTATGGTTATAGGGATATGTAGGGCTTTAGCGGGGTTAAAGGAGTGAACAAGGTTTCGGTCTGTGTTTATGTTCCTATTTCATATGAATAGTTTGGTGTATTGTACGCGGTGGCCTCAGGAACCAGAGAAGTGTTTGCGGATCGTGTTATGGGTTGCATCGCAAGAGACAAATCTCCACCAGGAGCGAAGCGGGCTTTTTTTTCAGATTAGAGAGATTCATCACCAAATTGGGTTACTGTAAAGAAACTTGAAAAAATCATCATAACAAGGAAACATCATGGTTTACAAGTATATCCATATCAGGGCAACTTAACTTACGTTCGGTACCAGCAATCCAGCACTTGGAGGGTCAGGCCGAAGGTTCCAGAGGTGGAACATCGTGAAAAGGAGATTTTGATAACCCCACCTCCGGTACCGGTTGTGCGGGTCCCCATAATCAGGGATTATGGTATTTTGGAGGTCTATGTTGCGGTCCCCCCTATTTTTAGAAGAAATGTAGCCAGCATGTGACCACAACGAGGTCCTACTTTGGAGAGTTTCGGGCTTATTCAAAGGCAAGACGGTGCAGTCCAAATTGTAGAGCACGCGACTGCAGATCGTCCTATCGGGCGGCTCGACCATGTTCGAGAAGTTTGGTGACAGGTGCCGGCTGATTGCTGCGCACACGTTCTCGGTGGTGCACGTGATACTCATAATAAGAGCAATAAACATGACCATCAATTAGTAGCAACAGGGCTAGCAATAATTGCAATGACATTGTAAAGAATGCTGGCGATACAGGCTATACGATATCAGCAATATGTTTACCCTGGTTGCTACTAATGATTTATCGTAATAATACTGCACGGGCAGGCTTCTAGGCGAGGTGAAGAAGCTTGCGCCGAAGGACTACATCCCTTTTGGGACACGTGGCGATTCTAACCCTAAACCCGAAGGAGATTGCGGACTTTTTTTGGATTATCTGGAGATTATTCTTAGAAACTCCCTCCATTGTGAGTTCACCTTGACAACGTCCACGCTTCTGGAAATACGTGTGCCTTCTTGCCAGGACATCAAAATAAGAATCATTGCGCCGCCGGAGCGAAAGCTCTCCACTTGGATAGGCTCGGTTTGATGGTGCGGCCACAGCATAGCTTTCAGCATCATAGTAGTACTGGAACTGCAATAACTGCAGCCAGAACTCTAGTCAGTTGTTGTGGACTTCCCACGCCGACGTGGGAAATTGTGCAGAAGTTGCCAAGCAGTGTTTGGTGCTTGGGTCTTATGTCTTGGGTTTAGGGTCTAAGATTTGCGTATATCATCCAGCTCATGTGGTGGCCTTACACTTGTTATCATATGGGTTCTTGTTGAGGTACAGCCTACCACGAAACCCAGACCTCACCTGCTGTTCAGCGCAAGTAGTCTGAATCCGGAGATCTGGTTAACGAACCTAGCATGCGGTCTGCTAATTAGCAAGGATACTACACCCCAAAACCCCAAACCCTAAACAATTCACATAAGAAGGGTGAATACAAAAAAGGAAAAACTCTGGCACAGGCGGCTCAATCCTGGCGTCCTTGGCAACATTCAAAAAGCACAGAGCTTGGGAATTATGAATATAGATAAATAAATAAGTAGTAAAGATAAGAATAGTAACAATAATAACGGTGATACGAGTGATAACACTATAAGATGTCATATCAATATACACCAGCATAACAATATTGATGAGAATCGCAACCGTAATTTTAACTATCCTGCATTTGCAGAGTACCTGCCTGCCGCTTTAGCAGCCAGCAACGGAACCACGATGGGCCCGAAGACCCTTGCCTGCTCAAATCGTGTTGGCCCCAAGGGTGTCTTGGTGCCATGAACCACGGGGAGGCGGAAAAAGATAGCTGTCCCAAGGGTGCAGCCCGGGGTATGCCAATCTGAAGCGGTGGGAGAGGAGGGGTGGGCGCGGTGCTTTCTTCTAGTTGTGCTGGAGGGGGGGGTCCTACAGGTGAAGTATATCAGCGTGTTCTGTTGCTCTCAGCAGACCTGACACCCCCGAGGATGTGGGTTACTAAAGAAGAGTTCGAAGAAGATGGTTACTCCATTCTGTCCGGGCCTTTGCTGGATTTCGCATGTCCACTGCATCTCTTGGTGCCGGAGTTAGTGAGAAGCTACGCCAAGAAATGCCCTTCAAGCCCATCAGCCAGTCCCCTGCAAAATGAGGTATATAATCCCCTATATAACTCCAGTTTCCATTTTACTTTCCATGTTCTTTTCCATTTGATTTTCCATTCTTGGGAGTAATATCCCTGTACAACCCTATATACCCCCTGGTCTTATGGATTTTTTCAAGACAGTAGAGCATGGATGGTTTGCCACGCTTACTCCAGTCATGGAGCCATACCTTGCCTTCAGCCCAGGCATAAGAAAGCTTTCTGATTGCAAATCGGCTGCAATGGAAGTCTGTCTGACTTCCACAATATTGGGGTTATACTGGGGTTATATTGGGATAATGGAAAAGAAAATGGGAGCTGCTATAACATAGAGCTTAGGGTTTAGGATTTGGGTTATATTGTGGTTATATTGGGATAATGGAAAAGAAAATGGAAACTACTATGATACAGTCGTTATATTGGGGTTAGATTTGCGTTTCAGAGTCTGGGCTGTGCTGCTAAATGCTGCTCAGCGTGCAGAATCCGCAAGTGCACAAAGTGGCCATTTCTGCAAATGTACCAGCCTTTGCCTCCAGCGGTGAAAGCGGCACCTGGAACCACCAACAGTGCCAGACAGCTCAACGGCTCATATGTACCAAAATCTAAACTCCTTCAAGGGGTTATGTAGGGGAGTATTACAAGGGTTGTTATTGGGGATACTAGGAGTTTAGGGTTTAGATTATAGCTCATATATCCGTGCTGCCTTCACAGAGGTTCGGCTCCATTGATTCGTCCGCTGCGGAGTGCAACGGACATGTACATGGAGGTGAGACGGATGTCTCATGTAGACTCGCAGAGGGAGCCAAAAAGATTGACCCCTGCTTTGAGTAACAACGGGTGAAAGCATCGAGTCAAGAAAGTGCGGCAAACTCTTCGGCGTAGCCCATCCATTCCCGGGCACTGCTCTTGGAAGCCCATGTTGAAACATAAAACCCTCAATTCGAAGCATGCGCATCCAGACACATGTCTTCGATGCCAGGCACGATTACTTCGATCACCGCATCACCTCTCAGTTTCTCCTACCCTTCCGGCCAGCACAGCCGTCCTAGAGCACGTTAACGCATAAGGCATCTAGCCATCATGGTTGGCGGCTGACATGCTGGCTTCTGCGGCGCGTGGCTTCCCTGCATTTGTACTGACTGAAGGGATGCCCTTCAGAAAGCAAGCGTGCAGCCTCATGGCCGGGATTTTGCTCACTGAGGATCGCTCGTGATCTTGGAGTGTGATGGGTCGGATGGGTCAAACAGCCCACACGCAGGGGACGAGGTCACAGGGCCCCTTGTACACTCGGAGCTGGCTTTGGATGGCTTCGCGACCAGCTTGGCCTGGGACACTGTTGGTAAACGCGTCGTGGTTGCTGTGAGCAGCCCAGAGCCTGCACAAGCCGATCGACTCTGTCTTTGCGAAACTTTAGGCGGGGTGCGTGTATCCACATGTCGAATTGCATGTGCAGCGGCAGCCATGTGTTTGAAGGAGATGAGTCCCTGGTCGAGTACGTCTCTCTCCCAGCAGGAGCACAAGCAACCGACTTGAGCTTCTACGCAGAGGAGAAGCGGAAGGCCTGGGTCGCCGTGTCCTGCACGGACGGCGCGGTGCGCCTCATCGATGCCAGTCCAGAGAGGACAGCCTCCGTGGTGCGGACCTCCTACAGCCATGGCGTGGCAGCTACGGCCGTGGCCATCTCCGGCAACGGCAACCAGGTGGCCTCCGGCAGTTCAAGCGGACACGTGGTCCTGCAGCCCTTCCACGGCAGCGGCCCCACCCCCTTGCCAGGCGCCAACTTAGAGAGGGAGAGAGAGACAGAGGAGAGAAAAACTTTCCATGCCAACTGCAATCAGGTCTCCTGGAGTCCACAGAGTCGGCGATCGAGAGCCTTTGCTACTCATCACTGCGTCAGGACCATTCGGATCAAAGGGCGGATAGGATGGAGGGGCTGAGCGGTGCAGCCTTGCCGAAGCATGCTAATTTGGCAGCTGCCAAGTGCCAGCCATGTTTGTTGAAGGAGCTGCTGGCTGCCAGTGATGAGGCTGGAAATCTTCAGGTTTGGGACGCAGTGGCCCAGAGACATGCGATAGCCTCAGACGGACCACGCAAACAAGTTCGCTGCCTGCCTTCGAAAGCAGAACTGAGGCGTGTCGCTTTGTTGGTGCCCACCGCGGGCCTGCGTGCGCTGTCCTGTTGGCCTGATGTTTTGTACTTTTCTGCTGCAGTCCTGGCTTGCTGTTAGCCTTGCGGTGCGGCATGTGCTTCTGTAATTGAGGCGCGGGCTCTCATTCTCAACCCAGAACAGTGACCTGCTTATCTCCGCTGGGAACGATGCAGAATTGATCTTTTGGGACGTCAAGAACCTTGACAGAAGAGATATCGAGTAGCTGGAGAGCACAAGCAAGCCATTGCAATATGGTATTTTCCTAAATAGGAGGACCCCACTACTCCCCAATATACTATAATCCATATATATATATATATCCTTATTCTTGGGACTCCCAAATGGTGCCGAAAATATTGGGACACACCTATGCTTGCAAATGGGATCTCTCATGATTTCCTCTGTAAAGTCCTGGGCAGGAGTCCACGTAATCTGCTCATGATCCCGAGAGCTGATATCCCATAGCGTATCCCCAAACCCTATAGAATCCCTATGTAACACTACGAAGCTCTATAAAACCCGATATACCATAATGAGATCCTAAAGAGCGTCTATATAGATTTATAGTCCCCCTTAAGTAGATAGAATATGAGGCGTATGGGGATCTTGTTATTATATACCCAAAGCCATACTCTATCTGCTTAAGGGGGACTATATATCCCTGGGCTCTTCCCAAGGGATCCCCCATTTCCGAGAAGCAGAGACTGCTGTCCCAGGAATGCTCGGCAGATACAACAGGCAGGCCTTGTGCTTTGTAGAGCTTAGGTATCTTGAAAGGGGGATGTAGGGGTTATATAGGGATAACGGAAAAGAAAATGGAGGCTACCATCTAGGGTATAGGGATTAGGGTTTAGGGCAAAGGTCTTACGACTTGCTGGTGGTTGGTAGGGAAGTACCTATGTTCTATAAGGTTTAGCGTTTGACTGCTTAGTAGGATTTCGGGCTTGCAGTAGGAAATGGAGGAATTGAACTGCGAACAGACATTACTGCAGGGTTTGGGACTCAGGGTGTCGAGAAGGCAATCGTGGAATGCACGTCCATGGCCGTCCCTATCAAATCCCCAGCAACAATCCACATATTCTCTTGAATCCTTTCCCTCCAAGTTAAGCACAAGTACTGGGCAGCTGTGGAGTTACAATTGGGATAGCTGTACTTGTAGCCTAAGTTGAGGAACTTCTAACCCCATCCATGGATTTTCAGGTAATAGCCTCTACTGTTGAACTCTCCCACCCCCAGATAATGAAAACTACTCTATACTACGGGAGCACACTTAGGGGAATCTTTACTGTTAGGAGGGATTGGGGCATTATTAGGGGAAGGGAAACCCTCTGTACCTATTCATAGCCCCCAGAAACCTTGTGTACCCTCACATAAAATTATTGTAACCCCTAGATCCTATGCTTTCATATGACCCCCATGAATCACAAACCCTGTATACATTGACATACTGTAGCCCCCGATCGGAAAATGTTAAACCCTAAACCCTAAACGCTAAACCCTAAACCTCAAAAACCCTAAATTCCAGGTGTCTGTCGAAGCCGGGATCAGCTCTCTATCTTATCATTCAGGCTCGACTGGGCGGGGCTTCTTAGTTTAGAGCCGTATCACTACGAGTATCCGGCAGGGACATACGGGGAACCCCTTTTTTAGGGTCTTAGAGGCTTGCTGCTTTACATGAACTACTTCACTAGGGATCCATTCCCTCAGTAGCTCTCTGCGGCAGTCCTCTTGGGCAGCTATGCCAGGTGGCTACTTGCTGGCCACGGGTACTTGCGAGGGTTCTATTCTGATCTTTGACTTGCGCAGCTTGGCAGAGAAACCTGCTGGTTGTTTGTAGGGAACGGAGAAAATCATGCCTGCAGTATCTCCGCATAATCCGAAATAATAATAGTACTAACGACAATAATATTTTAATAATGTAGGTTCAGGGTTTTGGGTGTGTTGTAGTTTGCTTGTTCTTGTCCATTTCTTCATTCCCTATGAACAACCTGGCAGAGAGTGAATGAGTTGATACAGAAGTCAGCCGGAAAGCCTGGTGCAGCCAAGGTATGCTGGCCCACGACCTAGACTTCCTACATGCAAGGAAACCTCCAGATGGGCAGCTATCATGTGGGTATCCTTCAATATGCATTTCTATATATACAAAATATGTTATCATTATAGTACCTTTTATGAGCCATATATATGGGTAACCACCTGGTAACTACCAACCCGGGCGTGTCCTTGACACATGGGAGATTCCCAAAAAAGGGGTCCCCTTTGTACATCCCTAACAGACAATAGTCCTAGACAGGGGCCCCCAAATTTCGGAAATACCCACATGAAGGTTTCCCAAAATTAGGGGTACCCTGGAAGTCTCCTTACTCAGGGTTATAGAAGTTTGGGGTCTACATTGAGGTCCCCCTATTTTGGGAAACTGCCCCATCTTTTGCTGCCAGCTGGCTTACCGGCCCGGAGGTGTCGTGCGAGCTATAGTCTAAACTCACAGTATTTCCTTTAATAGCGCCTATAATAATCCCCTATATATAACCCCCTCGAAGGAGTTTAGACAATGGCTCATGACCGATCTAGGTCTCCAGAAAGCAGCCCGCAGATCCTGTCCAGCGGTACGACGGCCAGGATGAAGGAGTCTCCCCGAGCAACTTACTTATTCGTTGTGAGGGAAGGAAGGAAGGAAAAAAAAGTGATTAGTACCCTGAGAAGTATACGAGCTATAGTCTAAACTCCTAATATCCCCGGAATAACCCCTATAATGATCCCCTATATTGTCCCCTATGTAACTGCAACCCCATTTGAAGTTCAGACTGTAGCTAATATGGCGGCATCTATAGATTCTGTGTTTCTCTACAGGCAACCAGTAAGCCTAGAGCGTGGCTTCGTACTGGCCAGGCAGGCAGCTCTCATGTTCGAATCAAACTCACTTAGAGCACCTGGGAATTTCTGCAAATCTTCCTTATATTCTAGAGTCCCTAGTAAAAGACAGACTAAATCCCCTGAGAATGCCTGTATGTGCCGAGAGTACCCCAAATTTTGAGGAGTTCCCATCTAGGAGCATTGGTTGCTTTGGCCTTTGCTCCGCACGATTCCATGGAGAATCCGCTGACTTCGAGGCCAAAGGCCGGCCCCTCCAATCTTTCGTGCCCCCCTCAAGTAGATAGAATATGAGGTGTATGGGGATCTTTTTTATGGTTTTGGGGAATTCCATATTCTATCTACTTGAGAGGGGCTATAGTCTTTTTGCTTCACGGCAGATCTGCAAGAGTCACGGAGTAAATCTTGAGGCAATTGCCTCATCAGTCGTTACTCCAGGTGCCTCAGCCATAGTTTGTCTTGTTTCTGTCATGACGCTTTTGCGAATTCGTGATGCATCATATTGATGCTGGAGCTGCTGTTAGAGATGCCATAACCTATTATGAGAAACATATATACATGATCTATATAAGTGCTTATTTGGCACACATATATATATATATACATATACACGATTATACACGTGTGTGTATGTATCCATGTAAATATTTCTATATGCAGACATGTAGTTACATAATTCGCCAACCAGGGAGCCATGAGCTGTTTCTTCAGGAAGCGCTCAGATATCCGCAGCTGCGCGGCTTCCCAAACATGTGGGATCCTAAGTTTTCTTGGGCATGTCAGCAATGTTAGGGTTTAGGGTTCTAAGGTTTTAGGGTTTCAGGGTTTTAGGGTTTTAGGATTTAGGGTTTAGGGTTTTAGGGTTTAGGGTTGTCAGCAAGATGCAAGGTAGGGACAAGAGCTTCTAGGGGTGTACAGGGCTTTGGGCGTCAGATTTAATTACGGGTTTTGGATTTAGAGATTATGAGGGATTTTCGGGGAATCAAGTATGGGGTGTAGGACGAGGTTTGGAAGAACAGAAGTTACAGGCAGGTAAGTTCCTATAGTCTCCTATACTTCTTATGTCAGATCACACTGGTGTGTGGTGAGGTCTAGGCGAGATGAACAGGCAGCCCATCACGCTCCTTTTTACTTGTGGTGCATAGGGAGAGGGTGAATGGTCCAATGGGCCTGTCTACAATTAACCCGACATAGTAATCCCTATGTTTCGTTCCTTCATTGCTTACTATGCACCCTGAACCTTCAATGACTCAATGTAGTTCTCATGTTCTGCTCCATGCCTTGCTTCCCTACCAAACCGCAGTAAGTCTTTTTGGACGTGGCAAGCCCGCCCCAGCACTTGGGGGGGCCAAGGGGATTAAGTAAGTAGGTTGATAAGAGGGATAACTAGGGTTAGATTATTGACCTACTTACAAACTCCCTCTGACCCTAAACCCGAAACCCTTAAAAATATGGTTAGTTTCCATTCTCTTTTCCATGGTTACTACATTGACCTTCCTATTGCGTCCCCGGACCCTCCAAACAGCCGGTCTGAAGGCAGACGAGTTAGAGCCTCGTGGCGAGGAGCGCAGCCAAGTGGCAGGGACGACCAGGAAGAAGTTATGCCCGAAAATCCCCATAATATTACAAAAGTGTGCATCATCTTTCCCATTTCCCTATATAACAGTTGTGTAACCCCCACCCAGATAGGGATTATTTTGGGACTGGCTCAATGCCAGGAGGGTGACATGCCAAGCTTCGCATCCATCGATTCCTTGATGGATCGGTTGGCTCTCAGTCGTGCTCAGAAACATATGGGGTGCTATCAAAATTGTGGTCCCTGTCTGGGTACCCTAGATATGGCCATGATATTAGGGACCACAATTTTGACGACCCACCCCACAGTGGTCCAGCTATTGATGTCATGTCGCAGATGGGATCTCTCTCCCAAGGCTTTCCAAGAGGGTCGTGGCCAGCATCTCAGCGGGCGTCAGAGATTTTCACAGAAGAAATCACGAAATCAAAACTTACTTGGAGGGTCAGGGGGACTTAGTACGCAGGTTAATTACCAACCCATATAACTGGACCCATATAGTAATCCTAGTTATCCCCCTTATTGTATCCCCCTTATTGACCTACTTACTAAGTCCCTTGACCCCCCAAGGACCATGCGCGAGCCATCACCTCTCGGGTAGATTGCCTGGGGCTCCCAGACAGGACAGACCCTCCAAGGAACCCCTGCGTTCCCGAAGTCCCTTGTAAGAATCCTTCTTCGAGGCCCTAAACCCCTAAACCCTATGCCTATACCCTAGACCCTGATCCCCTAAACCCTATACCCTAAACACCTAAACCCTAAGTGTGTCCCATTTGGGGTCGTAAAAGAGATCTGCCCTCACCTAGGCCAAGTCTGCAGACTTGCCAGAGAGGCTGGCCGGTTGCACTTTTGACTTCTTTTACGGAGGTTTCGCAAAAATTAGGTTCCTTTTTGGATGGTCCCCGAAATTAAAGATTCTAGTATATTTGGTTCTATAAGTGGGCCCACTCTGTAGGGAAACTACCTAACGGTGGCGGGGGCCCCACCAGTGAAGCCGCAAACGGCAACAGGAAGCTATCTTGATGAGTGCCTTGTCAGGGCTTCCAAAGAAAGGTGTCCCTTTTATATTACAATAAGATATTTTAATCAAAGCATGGCAGCCCCCCCTAAAACAAGGGGACTCCTAAATTTTTGGAACCCCACGGCAACCAGACTGGAGCGCACTGCGCACTGCGAATTACATTCTGCCAGGACATCTGGAGCAAGCAACGGGTCTGTGGCACTCGCGGGAGCCCGTGCTGACTAAGGGTCTAAACTTGACAGGCAATATGGCAGCTTCCCTAAATCGAGGGGACCTCAATATGGACCCCAAAATATTATAATGCGTATTATAGGGACAAAAAAAGCATCCCTGATTTTGGGAAACCGCCATATCTACCTTTGGCTATGCGGATCCCCTCTTTATGAGACACTCTGGGGTATCCCTCGGCTGCGGGCAGGGTACTTAAACTAAGCTACCATGACAAGAAACTCCAACATCTGCTATGTATCCATATTCTGGCAACGATGGTAACTTAACCCTTAACTCTACGTAACCCGTAAAAAAACCTATATACCCCCTTGAAGGGACGACTCTGAATTTACGTTCCTTAACGGCTATCCAGATCCAGGCCGGGAACATCCCACCTTTGCCGCAAGGCTCTGCGAGCTCTTCGAGGCTGAAACTTGTCCAGCAAAAACTGGGGGACCTTTAAAGGGCATATGAACAATATTCTAAACTCCTTCAAGGGGGTTATATAAGGGCTTATATAGATTATAGATGACATAGGGAATATTGCAGGGGTTATTTAGGGGGGATACTAGGAGTTTAGACGAATGCAAGCGTTGACGTCGGATACAGGGACTTAATGGGATTTACATGGTTTAGGGTTTCAAAAATAAGGGGCCTTGTCTTGAGAGCCTACGTATAATGAAGGCTACTTGGGAGGTGAGGGAGACTTAGTAAGTAAGTTAAGAAGAGGGATAACTAGGGTTACTATATGAGCTATAGTCTAAACTCCTTAAAGGGGGTTATATAGGGGATTATATAGGGGACTACTATAGGGCTTATTAAGGGGATACTAGGAGTTTAGGCAGTAGCTCATATGGGGTATAGAGGTCACTAACATACTTACTAGGCCCTCCGGACCCTCCAAGTATAGCACATTGGGAGTCATAGTGCGTATCCCTGATGTAGCCTCAAATACCTACACCCTTCTTACAGGGACCCCGCACAAAGGTACCCCCTCGCTTTTTTGGTAATCTAGAAATTTAAGAGCTTTGTGTCCGAACACCACCTGAAGGTGCGAGGCTCGTTATCAGTGGGGTCATGATTCCCCTAAGTCTGTAGTCTTCTCAAGACTTGTTTTCAGTTTTATCATAGTATAACCCTAAGGAATTATTCAAGAAGTTTGTTTTGTACTAGGTCTAGATGGATGACACAAGCTAGGTCATGACAGCCTACATACAGCACCCCGCACCCAGTATTCTGGCTGCAGGCTCGGGGCCCTACATACGACTGTTGTGATATGAGCCATAGTCTAAACTCCTTAAAGGGGGTTATATAGGGGATTATATAGGGGACTACTATAGGGCTTATTAAGGGATACTAGGAGTTTAGACTATAGCTCATATCAAATTTCCAACTACCCATGAACCTCCCAGTACCTCTCAATGGTCAGGGGTTCTACCAACCCGTCTATACTGTCCCTCTAGGTTCTGCCGTGATGAGCCCCAGCCTTAATTATCCCTACATCAGCCCTATCCAGGGAGAACAGGAATAGTTTGGGGGGTGTTACGGTATCCATACAACTCCCCCTGGACCTCCGAGTACCTGTCAATGGAGGCCTGCTACCACCAGTGCCGCCAGAGAAGTGCTGGCAAGATCCCCAGGCATGAGACTGTGCCAGAGCGAAGTAAGGGTTCCCAAAAACTAGTGCGCAGGGAAGAAAAGGGGAATAGGGTTTGGGGATTCGATTCTCCATGATAGGGTAATAATGTAGCTTAATTTGGGGGTTTCCCAAAATTAAGGGTACCTTTTTTAGGGGTCACTATAATAAGGATCCTAGTATATTAGGGTCTATATTGGGCTCCCCTTATTTTGGGAAACTACCACTTAAGTGCCCTTAAGTAACCAAAGCGCCTGCAGCACTAAGGAGACGCCCTTGGAGAGCCGAAGAAGCTCACAGCAGGCTCAGCGAGCGCGATCTCTCCCAGCCAAAACATTTTGAGGTTGCCGCATCTGAGGGCTCTCTGTTTGGGGGGTCCCCTATAATCAGGAGTATAGTTGTTGTTAAGATCTATATTTAGGGCTCCCTGTTTATGGAAAGCCCCCCATTGTTACTTGTCGTGTTGGAGATTATTAGTTGGTGGTGCTTATCAGAGCACTAAGGAAGATCTGCCATGGTAGCCGTGTTGTAGCACACTCTAGTATTCGTCCCCGTAATACACTCATACGCCCATCCCCCTAAACTCTGATGCCCCAACACCTTCCAAACCCCTACACACCAAACCCCTAAAGCCTGAACCCATTTTCTACTAAACGCTAGCAGTCACTAGCAAGATGAGCCGGCAGGTGTCTCGTTACAGCATTGGAAGTCCCGGAGAGGAGCCCATGGCTGGGCACTCAAAGAAGAACAGCTTTCCGGTTAATGTAGAAGCCTGAAGAGTTATCAAATTAGGGTATAGGTTTAGGGTTGGGTATGTTCCCCGACAGTTTTTTTAAGTAGGAGTAAGATGGATC